CAGATTGTTCCTATTTGTGACAAAAAGAGAAAGAGTAGAGATAAAATAACGATTTTTTTCCTAATAGTAATGAATCTAAATTCAAAATATAAAGTTTCTAATGAAATTTCTTATTAAGTAACTATTATTTAATCAAATAAATTAAGATATAAATGTAGACTAAGATGAAATGGAATGTACCTTGACTTCTGCTCTCTTGAATGCTTGGAAGGTTGTTTCTTGTTTGAGTTTAGTTTCTGGTTTCTTAACCAATGGATCTTTGACAGCAGGAGCTACAGAAACAACTGTGGGAGCTGGTTTCTGTGGTGGTTTCTGAGTTTTTTGAGCCTGTAAAAACAGTGTGTTAAATTAATACAAAAATCTTAATTGAATGCATAAAACATGAAACTTGTCAAGGACTAATCACTGAATGGAAATAGAGGTAAATATTTAAAAAAAATATTGTGACAACACTGAAAATACAGACTGTTAAGACAAATTATTTTTATGATCATCATCATATTAGTAGTTTGACACATTTCATTAGTTTCTACATAGTATTAATATTAAGCATTAGAAATAATAGTTGTATTGTTTTGGAAATAATCATAGTTATTATATTACATTGTTGTGAAAATAATGACAAAGAAAACAAGTTTATACATGTGCAGGATGAAATAATTTTTCCCCATCAATATTTCTGACCCATTGGGTAGTTGGTTGAATCCTATGCATTTGGAAGGCTAATCACATATGCAACCAGTTAGCTTTATTTGTCATTAAGTGCATTTAAGAGCTTTCTTCTTGGGGTTTAAGCATGAGTCATTAAGTTAGAGGGTAAGTTAAAAACAGCTCAGATCATTTATATGATTTTAAAAAAGAATAGGGAGGGGGAAAAGTAATTTATTGATAAGCAATGAACATTTCTGAGTTTTTCCTACATTGCATAACTAAGTAAACTAAATCCTTACAGAAAGTTCATAAGTAAAAATTTCTGTTATCAAGAAAGAATTTCATTGCCTTTTCCTTTCTAAGCATTTTCAGTTTATTTTGTCTAATAATTTATCTTTATTTTATAACTAAACATGCTACTAAATTCTCGTATAAATTCTAGTCATTTCTCAGTTTTACTTTAGTGTTTTATAGGTAGATAATAATAACTGTGTAAAGAGTATGATGCAGTGCTTGAGAGCACAGCTTTTAGAGACAAATAGAAGCAGGATTAAAATACAGCTCACTACTTCCTAAGCTATGTTTCCTCAGGAAAAACATGTAAATCTCTAAAAGGCTCATTTTCTTCATCTGCCAAGTGAATAGTACCATCTGTTTCAAAGGTGGGTTATGAGAATGAATCATAACCCATAAACAAGAGTTTAGCAAAGAATATGGTATAGGTTGTGTGCAACAATAACAGTTATTATTTATTCATCATCATTATTTATAAAGGATAATTAAACAATCCAGAGGAGCCTATTTATATCGTATGGGAAAAGATACTCTCAGTCAGCTATTCCACAGTCTTGGACAATACTCACAGGTCCATACAATACCGAGGAAATTGTCAATAATTTGTCTCCATTCTGTAAGCCCAAGTTTGACCTATGTTATCCTTGTTTGAACTTTTTTCTGTCATCATCTTCTGCTATTATCTGCATACTACATAATCTTGGTCTGTAAGTCTCAATTAATGCTTCTTTTTATATTAAATTTCCACATCAAAGTACATCTACCTTCAACATTACTTATAAAGCAATATTTAGATTAAGAGTATTATTAAGGATGTTAGAAGACTATATGTGGTAAAATATGAAATATGACTCTTGATTTCTGGTACTGATCTACATTTCTTCCATATTACTTATCTTAGAATGAGAACAACAGAATTTAAGTGTCCTGTCCTGGGTTCTTGCTCTGATGCTACACAAATGAATAAACCTCATCTCATTCATGTAATTCATTCATTTCATTTGCAAAGCAAATAAGAATAAACACTACTAAGATGAAAAGGTGATGTCTAGAAACAGAACATACATAACATGAAAGTTCAGATGTTTAGGAAATGATGCACTTAATCTAGCAAGGTCAGAGCATATTAGTATATGGTGAAGCAGAGAGAGAGAAGGCTTCACGGGCAGCTGTGGTTCAAAAACAGAGGGCCCATATATGTACCCTAAAGAGTATAAAACTCATATAAGTAAGTGAGAGCTACTTGAGTTACTTAGATAAGACTGGCTAAGTATTTTATATATATTTTTAGTTGTAGATGAACACAATACCTTTATTGTGTTTATTTTATGTGGTGCTGAGTATCGAATCCAGTGCCTCACACATGCAAGGCAAACGCTCTACCACTGAGCCCCCCAGCCCATGGTTAAGAATTTTAGTTGAATAATTCTAAATATTATAGTGAATAAAATAGGTTGAAGGGATAGCAAAGAGAACTTTTAAGGGACTATTGCAATAAACAGTGACAGAGTTGTGGAACAGGATAATAAGAGAAATGAAGAGACAGAGATATGTAAGAGGTAAAATCAACAAATTTAGCAAACAAACTAAAATAGAACTAAGAGAACATCAAGAATGTTTTCTAATTCAGGTAAATTGTGGGGAAAAAACTAGAGAAGAGAACAATTTTAATTTTAAAGGTGTTGAAATTAAAGGACTTGTAGGGTTATCTAGTCAGCTGTAAAACCTCATGCAGAAAGAGGGTTAGAACCATAAATACAGATTTGATAAAAACTATGTGGGAGAAAATTGTTTACTTTAGCAATTAAGAAAGTTACAGTG